TTGAAATCAGAAGTTGTAACGTAGTTGATTTGCTGTCTTGACGATTTCTTTTTTCCTTCATTTCATCCGCTTCTTTTTCACACAATGCACCTATTTTTCCAATCAAAATCTCGAAGTTTTTTTTTAGGTGGAGAGCATGGTGGTGTGGTGTTTTTTTTTTTTTAAATAAGAATTAATACACCCTTTATTGATATATTTTTGTCTGCATACTGAATGCACATAGACAAATTCGCGAGTATTTAAATACTGAGAAATCCATCCGCTCTCTCCGCAGTTGATATTCCTCTAGTGACTTTTATAATGTCTCCTAGTTCAGAGATTAATTCAGAACTACATCCGATTTTGTCACAAATGAGGCAATCATTACATATATTATCACTATTCGATGGTTCACCCATTTTTATAGGAGGCTACAATAATTAGAATTTTTTTTTTTTTTAGCGAACAACAACAGCTACGTATTAAGCCTAGCACGTTGCCACCTGTACTATTCTGTTAGGGCCCGCATTAACAACACTAAACAGCTCCCGTTGTCCCCTCTATTCCCCTCCCTGACCATCATTTTTATACTTGCAGTCCGTTAAGAACTAAGATAGCTATTACAAAGCTCTTCTTTTTAAAATATCATTTTACACTATTATAAATCAAAAAAAACTCCAAAAAATTAATAATTATTATATTTGTAATAATAATTAAAAAATTGAGGTCGCATATTTTTTTTTTTAATTTTTCTATATACTATTAAAAACTTGTAAAGATTCATTGACTGGCCCTGGATTCCGAGGTAAAAACCTTACGGCGCTCCACTAATAATGATATTATAATTTCACCGAGTAGTATATAAATCAGACACCAATAAAGACAACTGAGGTCATTTCGAGGTTTCCTACTTTCAAAGAAAAAACACAGAAACTTCATATTTAATCGCGAATGCTTATTATCATTCCATCACACCAAAACGTTGTTTAGTTGGATGAAATGGCAACTCTTGAATCTCTTCACGTTGCTCTTCGTCCCAAGTGCGGTAATGTTGCTTCTTTACATACCCATTGAGCCAGAAATGGGCCTCTTCGCTAAAAAAAAATTTGGCTCGTAAACGTTGGATCTTCTTGGACCTTTTCAAAAGCCCATAAAGCGAAGCGATGTCGCTTGGGAACGGCTTCAGTTCTTGCAAAACCTGAATGAATATAGTACCCTTTCAATATAAGATCTGGAAGCAAAATGCGCTAAGTTGTTCCAGACCTCAGTCCAAGATGTTGCGAACGGCGCCGAATCGACTCTCTATTGTTTTCGTGTACACTCTCAGCTACGGCTGCTATATTTTTTTCACTACGTTCTGGACGTGATCAATTCGTTCGAATGTTATCCAAATAATGAATGTTGGTTCTCAAGCTGAGTGACGATGTTGCGAATAGTACGCTCACTGGGCCGAATATGTTGCTTATAAATTGAGCGAACTGCGCGAAATACATTCTTTACAGGACGTGAATTTTCCTGATAAATTTAACCGATTTGTAAACATTGTCCAGGCGTAGGTCTTTCCCTGATGAAATACCAAACAATAATGAACAAAAATAACATGATAGCTTAACACGACTCACGCATGATCACATGTTAGTTCTTTACATGAAATCGGACCATATCCAGTGACTAGTAATACTGCAACATATGGACATTAGACTATTTTATTTCAACTAAGTATATTCCACCGGTTTGAATTGTAACTTAATAATTTTTTTTGAAATATTGTATGTGAACATCATATTTTACCTGTACTGTAAAAGTTCCAAGAAAATAGTGTACAGAGCGAAAATGAAGAATAACTGAAATGTTACAGTTTTGCTAACGCGTCATGTGAGAGTTTCTTAACGCAGTTTTTTGTAATTGCGACGAGAACGCGGGAATTTTTTAGTTGTTAAATAAAAATGCAACCGGAAAATAAGTAGAAAATTTAAAAATTGTTGAAGGAGGAGCAATCTGTGTGTAAATTAGCAACAAAATGCTAAGTAAGCAATATGACCATGCTCAGGTTAGTAAAAAAAATATTTGAAAACTACGTCCAACAACAAAGGTGGTCGACCCAAAAAAATTAATGTGCTAAATATCGAGTGGACGGACGCCGTACATAAAAAAAAATATTCTTAAAGCATCAGGAAAAAAAAACCATACCAATGTTGACAAAAAAACACACAAAACAACAGCGAAGAAGATTGAGATTTTTATTTTTATTGTAAAAATATTTACTTTATTTTTTATTTTCAAGTTAATAGGGMCTAATGAGACAATAATAAATCGGTATCAATTTGATAGACGTCCGGGGTACTATACAAGGGGCCCAAATACCATTAAGCCAAACCATGTTTCCCAAACTCTAAAGTATGGTGGCAGGTCAATTATGGTTTGGGGGTGTATCACCAGAAACGGTGTAGGTCTTCTGGTACGCATTGATGGGATCATGCGTAAGGAGAAGTATCTAAACATTTTACAACAAAATTTGCCGACAGTCATCGAAGATTTCTGTCTTCTTGCTGAAAGAGTTACCTTAAGGAAGACAATGACCCGAAGCACACTGCTCGCCTTGTATATGACTGGATAAAAAGTCAAAAATTTTCTGGCCTTATATAGCCCCCACAATCACCAGATATGAATCATCTCTAAAATTTGTGGGGTCATGTCAAGGCAAAGCCTGCAAAGTGCTCCAATTCTCCTAATTGGTAAATGAGTTATGGAGCGAACTCAAGAAGTTTGGAACACAATACCTCCGATTTTATATCGAAATATACAAAAAATATGCCCCACGCTTAAACGCTTTTAAAAAGACTAAAGGTTTTGGACCAAATATTTATTTTATGCATTATTTTGTTTAAATATTACATTCGAGTGCAAAAATGTAACATTGAGTTTATTCTTTTAATAAAGCTAAGGCTTGAATTAATTAAAAACAAACAAACAAAAAAGTTTGTACATTTTTGTTTGCGGCGTCGTTTAATAATGGATCACTGGCATTTTTGCCCGTCACTGTATTTCAAGCCCGTAGGTCTGATTTTGAATGGTATATATCAGTAAATCTGTGAAATAACTGACATATTAATGCTAATTAGAGGGCGTATTTTTTCGATTATAAACTGTGCTTGTAATGGAAATGTTCAATTTTCATTAGGTAGAGTAAAGAGAATTTGTTAGAATAATCCGATTTGAACCAAACATATATATTTTTTGTTTTTGTACTTTACACTCCCTTACCGCAAAAAAAAGTAAACATATTATTTTTCACACAAAAATCGGTACACGGTGGTGCGATAGAATAAGGGCACCTTGTGGTTTTAAGAAAAATAATGACAAAGTTTTTGATAAAACGTGTTTATTTTTAGAGATAATGTAAGAATAATACTTTCAGATTATTATTCACTTCATATTTCAGATATTATTACTAATCAAGACGAAATAAATATAGCGAATGGTACGCACTGCGGCAACAAAACTATAACGCATATTAAAAATTAAGTCAATTAGGTTAATTCGTACAGACAAGTAGCAAATAATATATATTGCAAGTTCCCAAAAAATTTTGGAGCAAAAAGGTTTTCCCAGATTGAAATATTTGGCAGAAAGCCCAAAATATGTCAGAAATTTCATTTATTTCTTAAAACATATGCAAGTGTGATTTGAATGTGGAAGTTCAGCGATCACCTATCCGCAAAATGCTCGCAACCGAAAGTTTTGACACTCGTAGCCGAAGAAAAGAGCTTATGTGGCCAAAAGAGAATGTGTAACGAAAGGGTTAAAGTTTGTTAAAGAACATGTGATTTTCTGATCTGACGAAATAAAATAAAATGCATTTAACTCTGTTCGAGGTACTGGTGTAGTATTAACCGAAAAACGCAGTCTACAACTATAAATACACGAATAAAAATATTCAACATGCGGGCGGAAACATAATGGTTTTGGTATTGGTGTGGTGCCATTTAATAAGATATAGGGCACTATGGAGGCAACCGTTAAGTTGTAATACATCAAGAGCTAACGATCTTTGCATTGCTAAAACACAGACCTTAGTGGTTTTTATCTTCAACGTACTGTAGTTTCAGCAAGATAATGACCCCAAACGCACCGCTCAGTGTACAAAAGAGTGGTTTAGGATCAACATTATCAATGTAATAGAGTGGCCTGCACAATCCTAGGATCCAAATCTCATTGAAAATTTGTGGAATACAGTGAAAGCGTCCATAAGCGGAATATTCCCAAATAACAATTAACAGCTAATGCAACTTATTTATAATTCATGGATCCGGAATTGCGATTCAAAAACTAATTGATTCTATGTCCAGGTGGTTTCGATCAATTTTGAACAACAAAGGGGCTTAAAAAAATATTTATCTAGTTAGAAAGATAGTTAGTTTATTGATACAAATGAATAAAAATTACTTTATTTTCTTTATTTAATATTGTATTTTTTAGTAATATAAGAAGTGTCCTTATTTTTTCGTGTTAAAACTTAATTTCAAATTCTTAATAAATTCCCTTCATTAATTGTAGGCTGTCCGTATTATTTTTCATATAACCGTTTATTTAAGATGTTATGTATACATTATTGTAACGGCCGTTTTCTCGGTCTGGTTAGCGCTTAACCAAAACTTTATCAACAAAATGGAGACATTCTTAACCATTTTTTTATTAATCTCTGGTTATTATGCATATTTGCAAACATTTACGGAAGAACTCAGAGTTGAAGTCTCTTCGCCTTGCCTCGTCGTCTCCTCGCCTACGAAAACTGGTTCGGGCGGCAGTAAAGCTACCGGCGGTTATTAATAATATTAACCAAGAATTGAGTAAACGGTTCTAAATAATACAATTTATAATCAGCTGGTGAAATTATTAGTATTATGGCTACGAATTGTATTTAAATTTTTAGTTGATGTACAATACTTCACCAGATATATTATTTTTACAAATATCGAAGCACTTATATAGTTTAATAATGTGTTTCTTTTATATTTTAGGAAAGAAAATGGATTCCTGGCTTAAACAAACCATATTATCAGACAATCAGGATTTATCAACCGTTTGCTTCAAGTTGCTCAGCTGGTTGGATACCGACTTTTGTGGCACAATGACGTATAAACATATTGAAACAATCCTTACCAGTGCTATGTTCGTTGATATCATATTCGAAATGATGGGAGAAGAATTAACAAAGGATTTAATGGAGAAATATGCGCACCACAGACTATTTTTAAAAGATCATTTTAAAAGAATAAGTGAAGTTGGGGTATCTTTACAATCAGCTGCTAATATTTTAGCAACTCCTGATGGCTATAAATATATTTTTACGGTGGAAAACTTACTAAAGTATTTGCTAACTGATGTTAACTTGATTTATAATAATTCTATGGGGTCATCAAAAAATATAAGTACTGATAATTCGAAGTACAAAATGCATTTAATAGTTCAAAGAATCTTCCAGTTGCCACCCAAGAATATTGATATTTCGGTGGATAGATTGTTATCTCATTGTGATTTTTCCCTAATTGGACATATTTTTTTGGAAGAAACAAATAACCTACATATTAGCAAATATAAGATTTTAGAATATAAAATTTGTACGAAAATTGCCAACGGAAATATAAGTCCATCTTTTATAAAATCGATGTATGTAACAGCTTCAAGTTCATTAAAAGGGAACACTTTTTTAAAATCGTGCCTTAGAAATGATGTTTTCGGCACTAGTTTGATAGAATTTTTCATGCTATTTTTTGCAACCATTGAAAGAGAAGGATATAATACGGCAGTAAATTCCCAGCATAATTTATCTGACATAATTTTTTTAGTGCATTGTGCCCTGTGTTCAAACACACCTTCTATTTCTCAATTGAATAATACAATACGTACTAACGAAACCGTTGCAAAACTTATAAAAAAATCTTTTTTCATTTATTATTAGTATTATAGTTTAGTATAAATATATGAGTATATGTAAACAAATATTTTAAATTCCAATAAAAGTAAACTAAATAGTACGAGAAAGGGGTAAAAAGGAAAATATCTACAAATCGATAAGATATGGTTATTTATTTCCCTATCCATATGGAATTTTCTATACATATATCAAATATAATGACTTTCGGTAGTCTAGTTAATCTTAAAACATAACCCTGTTTGAATCGGTAAGATTTAGGTTTTGTCATTACTGGAGTAACTCTTAGTAGTATAGTTGCTGGTATTAAATTCAACGCTGGGCCTCCGTTAGGTGCACTAGACGGGGCCATTTTATAACCCTATTTTGGCTTTCAATTCCTCTCGGTGGAATTGAAGATAGAGCAGAGAACGTATAATATAGAGAAGGTTCAACTACGGACAAGCGTATGAACTGTCAAGAGCCATGAATTTTCTATTAGTGGATCTCACCACTTTTGGCTCGGCAGGAGAAACTTTAACATACATGAGTGAACAGAGCTGAGAATTCAATGAAGATTATGCTCTGAAATATACATTGCTTTTACAGACGCCTGTTGGCCTTTTGGCTCATATTTTTATACGATTACATGCWATCATATCAATTGATATGAATATGATTTTGCGAATTCATGAAAATTGATAACATTATTTTTAATTTATGCAATTCTGGAAGCAATTTTTGTAATTAATGTTCAAATGACCTACTTTTTAAATATTTCTTATCTTTGATAATGTAATATAATTTCATGTGTATACATATATGTACATATTTGCTACATATATGATATATTATCATAATATCTTCAAAAACTTAGTATATTACAAGAATAATATATATGTATAAATCACACCTTTTATCATTTAAAACTTTACTGCAGATATGTATGTACATACAAATGTAAGTACAAATCAATTTCAAATCAAGATGTTATCATTTATCAGTGAAATAATATGCACGCGCTGCTCTACCTGTAAATACACATTTACATACATATGTGCGTATGACATTGCTACACAAATACTGTATACACAAACTTACGTATAAACATATCTGTATATACATGTATGTCGCCCGCCAAAACTTCAAATATTGTTCTACAAAAACAATAATCACCTTAAACATCATCATAAATACTTATATGCGTACACATGTAAATATGTCTCCCGCAAAAATTACAAATACTGTTTACAAAAACAACAATCGTCTGAAATAGCATCAGAAATCAATATGGCAGCCAAATTGACGACGTCAAAATTTATAGTAAATTACACAACAACAAAATTTTCATTCATGAACGCAAACGTACTTTCAAATAGCATATTCGATTCATTCATAAAAGCAGACGCCATTACATCTCCCCGAGCATGCCTTGCCTACAAGCGTCTTTTCGCAACGATTTCAGAAGCTAAAAATCATAAATTGAACATATTTCTGAAATGTATGAGAAGGAAAAAGTGTCAACCCCGCAACAATAAGTATTAAAATATATTAGAATAAAATTGACAACATAGTTTATTTGTCGATTTTCAATTCAAGAAATGTTTGCTTATATTTTTATACGTCTACATGCAATCATATCAATTGATATGAATACCATTTTGCGAATTTTTGTGAATTCATGCAAAATTGATTTCATCATTATTGAATTACGCTATTTTCATGGTAAAATTTGTAGTTAATGTCCAAACAAAAACTACTTTTTAAATATTTCTTATCTTTCATAATATTGTATAATTTCGTATGCATGTACATATATGTGTATATATGCTATACACATGTATGAAATATTATCGTAATATCCTAAAAACATAATATATTACAATAATAATATATGTATGTACATAAATCACACCTCTTATCATCTAAAACTTTCATACGCATCTATCCGGCAGATATGTATACAAGTACAAATCAATTTCAAATCAAGGCATCATTTATCAGAAATGTAAAAAGCGCGCGCTTCTCTATATTTACGTACATACATATGTAAAATGTAATCATATATGTACATATGTCCATATATGTGTATGTGCGTATGACATTCTCACACAAATAATATATGCGTACGCATGTAAATGAAAAAATACAAATATTCTTCTGAAAAAACAACAATCGTCTCAAACATCATCATATGTACATACTTACAATATGAGTACACATGTAAATATGTGCGTGACATTCCCATTCAAAAAATGCATACACAACATACATACTTACATATATGCTTTCACATGTATATGTGTCACCAGCATCAGAAATCAATATGGCCGACGTCAAAATTTATAGTAAATTACACAACAACAAAATTTTCATTCATGAATGCAAACGTTCTTTTGAAAAAGCATATTCGATTCATTCATACAAGCAAACGCCACATCTCCCCCAGCGTGTCTTTTCGTGACGATTTCAAAAGCCAAAAATCATAAATTGAATATATTTATGAAATGTATGAGAAGGAAAAAGTGTCATCCCCGCAAATATAAGTACTAAAATATATTACAATAGAATTGACAACGTTTATTTTTCGATTTTCAATTCAAGRAATGTTTCAAAGAAAATATTCAATATTCCTCTGATTCATGTGTAAATAAAATCCCACCCTCATCACTCTTAACAATATATGTATATAATACCTTGCTGCATCTCACGGTTTGTTTTTTTTAAATACTAAGAAATTAATGCTTTAAATACGACTCTTTTACGTATCCGCAGTCACTTATGTACCATATTATATTTTTATTTTTATCTAATTGCAAACATCCGTACCTTTGAATGAGGCACGTAACCAGTATTGACTGTATTTGTATGTGAAAAATATTTTGTAATTTTGAAATATTTTTGCGCAGCTGCGTCGATATGTAAGCTCGCGCATAAACATATGTACATATTTACGCTGCGTTGTAGGCGAATCGGCGGCCATTCGTTTTTTTCGGTACAGCTTGGATTTTCCCAAAGCTGTGACGCTTTGTCGTCGCGTCAGTCCTTAGACACATTGACATTTTTACAGAACGTGAAGTTCGGCCATTGGTTGTCCGTGATTATTTAGGTTTATGTAGGAAACAATGAGTGTATATATTTACATAAAAAATTGAGTTTACAAACATTATGCGAATGATTCTTTCAAATTTGTTAACATGAACACAAAATTACATACATATGTGAATTTGTGATCTTTATGAGTACCGTTTTTTAAATCTGTTTACATATACACATACTTATATGCATATGACTTTTAAGATTTTATAAAAACAGGATTTTATCAAAAAAAAATTATCATTACGGTTATGGTTTTTAAAAATCTGTTTATATGTACACATAATTGCATCCATATGCGAATATGTGGCTCGGCTTGGTCTTTAAAATGTTATCAAAACCTCTAATTCCCAATATATACATACATATATTTACTTAGGTAGTAATGGAAATATGACTTTATTATAAATTCCAACAGATCTAGTGGAATTTATCATTAAATAGGTCAAATTTCACATTCATACATACATAAATACGAATGAGCTTTGTTATCAAATATATGGAGAATATCTACATATAAATGATATCCATAGTCGCATGCGCATTGTAAATATGCGAATCTGTAACCGTACATTTCTAAACATTGAAGTTAGCATAATTTTTCTCATTTATCACTGAAAATGCTCAATTCTGCTATTTTCGACGCTCCTGTTAAATATTGGTGAAATCCGCTTATAGAAAAGAGTACCCCTCCAAAAAAATGAAATATCGTAAAATATGCAGCAACGTGAATCTTCTCTATATTATACGTTCTCTGAGAAATGTTTCAACGAAAATATTCAATATTCCTCTGATTCCTGTGTACAGTCAATCCCGGCTAAGTAGTACTCCGCTTAAATGAAAATCAAATCCCTCCCTCATCACTCTTAACAGCATATAATATATCTTGCTGCATCTCACGGTTTGTTTTTTGAAATATAATATATAGAAATTGTTTTAAGTACGAGTCGTTTAAGTATCCGCTGTCGGTTATGTACCATATTATATTTTTATTTCTAACTAATTACAAATATCTGTATCTTTGAATGAGGTGGTTATGTGCTTGTGTGTGTATTGACTGTATTTGTCAAGGAATCAAAAAAATATTTTGTAATTCTGAAATCTTTTTCCGCAGCTGCGTTGATATGTATGCAAGCACAAACATACATGTGTATTTACGCTAGTTTGTAGGGAAAGCTGTAAGCGGCAAGAGAAGCGGTATCGGTACAGCTCCGATTTTCTACCATTGACTTTTTGGCAAAGTTTGGTTGTCCGTGACAACGGAGTTTTTGTATGACACAATAGGTGTATATATTTACATACCGTTATGTCGAGACAAATTTACACATACATATAATGCGAATGATTCTTTCAAATTTGTTTACATCAACACAAAATTACAAATGTATGTAATTTCATATGTGAATATGCGAGCATACGTATGGTTTTTAAAATCTGTTAACATGTACACGTATTTATATGCAAAGTAAATAAATACATAT